TGGTGCTGAGTTAAGCCGGCTCTGTTGGCCCTTCAAGCTGATCGTTGGTTTAAAATAAAAGGTCCCTGTTCTGCAGAACACTTACCATGTTCTCATAGAGGGGGACTAGGGGGTGGCTCACACTCGGATCAAAACAGAAGCACTTGTCCCATGCTTTCTTTTTCCCCTTCTTGCCCTTGTGCCCTATACAGCGTCCATAAGGGTTCTTGCACGCTCTCTCACCCCACACACACTGGAAATGTGTGTGTGTTTTTCTTGTCAATCAAGATAACTGATGGGAAGAAAGAGAAGGTGTAAAGCAATCTGTCTGATTTTAGACACTGTGAAAGACAAACAGTTTCAAAGGCAGGTTGACTGTTGTTAAGATGGAGCCAAGAAGGAGCAGTATGAAACACGGCACCCAAACTTGCTGTTTTTCCTCAGAGGCAGACCAGCACCATCCATGACAGGGAAGCATGAGCAAAACTGCTGGTTTCAATTAATTGGAGATATAACGGGAAAGAATATAACTGCAAGGCTGACGCTCTGAGTGCAGGATTTTGTTGCCCACAGTTGGAAAAGAAAACCAGAAATAAATAAATAAATAAATAAATAAATAAATAAATAAATAAATAAATAAATAAATAAATAAATAAATAAATAAATAAATAAAAATACTGTAAATTGTCCATGTCCTACAAGGTCATAGCAAGGCATGCCAATCAAGGACAACATATTTTGTTGCTTGTGTCTTTGCACCCGTACATGTGTGTGTGTGTGTGTGTGTGTGTGTGTGTGTGTGTGTGTGAGAGAGAGAGAGAGAGAGAGAGAGCTCTTGCATGTGCTGTTTTTGTGTATTCTGAGACGGCGCTTTGCTTTCGTATAAAATCCAGAGTACATTCTTTGGTTCCTTGCTGAATGCCAAGTTCACCAGATGTTCTCAGTTGTTAATTGCCTCTGACTTTGGTTCCTTTTTTTCTCTCTTGTCAGCCAAAGAACGAAAAGAGTATATGTCTATGTACAACAGAATCCTCCATTATCTCCATTTTGGTCCACCAAAATATTGTCTCAGCTTGAGTTGACTGTGCACCCTCTTGGGGTTGATGGCTGCTGTTCTGAGGAAGAGGAAGCTCTCTTTCCTTCCAGAATAGACATCCTGATCCATTCATCAACTAAGACTAGTGAATTTGGAACAGCTTTGGTGAAACTCACTGCCATCCCAGTGCCAAAAAATGCTATGGAAGCTCCGTTGTGACTACACAGCCTTGGCATCCGGCTGATCTGCTAAGTCTCAGAAGGAGAGGTGGGTCTGAATTTTGTACTGTTTTACTTAAGCTGTTCTTTTCTCCCTCACTGCCAAAAAGAAAGAAGGAAAAAGAAATTGGGAGCAAGGGAGAGACAGAGAGAGTAGGGCAAGGAGATATATTTTGTGTAAGAAAGGAAAAAGACATTTTTTTTACACCAGAAAAATAAGAAAAATAAAATGTGTTGCGAGTTGAAGCTAACAGTGCACACTACATTTGAAAAGGCTGAAGTCTACTGAAATTTGTACAGATTGCGATAATCTCCACTTTCCAAATAAAGCCTGGACGTTGTGAGCCACCACTGGGAAAGATGTTCTGCACAATGGCCTACTACAGTATGTACCATAAAGGCTCTGCCCTGTCTTTGGGATATAAAGAAGACTTCCGGAGAAAAGATTAAGTTCTCAGTAATAAGGAAGGTTCCAGTGGGTAGCCGTGCTAGTTTACGAAAGCAAAACCAACAAAGGATCTTGTGGTGAATCTTGAAGGATGGACATATTTACTGGAGTGAAAGTTTACAGACCAGGATCCAAGACAGCGTGCAACTGAAGAAATGGGCTCTGGGGCCCCCAGGGCTTCGCCTGCCATAATGAATGTTTGTTTAGATAGTCTCACAAAAACCTTGGCTGTTTTTAACACACACACACAAAATGAATTAGGCTTCTTATACCACATAATGGATGGATAGGCCTGTCAATGTCTTGCTGGGTGGGTTTGTGGGTGCCCTAGTCATTCCTAGTCTTGCAGGCTTTCTCTTTATTTTATTACCCATCCTTTAATGAGGCACTCCTTGAGGCCCATCTTTTTTTTTTGTGGGCTGGCCCACCAAAATACTAAACTACATATTTGTTATGTCTGTTATTTTAATTCTAGATTTTATTGTTAGCTTCTACCCCCCCCCCTTCCTTGCATTTGGAACAAAATGGAATGGTTGAATAAAGAAATGGTTCCTAAAACGAGAAACTATTGTGGTGGGCCACAAGCTGAATGTGAGCCAGTAATGCAACACAGCTGCAAAAAGGGCTAATACACTATTGGACTGCATTAACAGAAACATGGCACCTGGGCCATGGACGAAGTAGTTCTGCTCTCCTCTGCATTTTGTCAGGTCATTACATGCATCGAAGTCATCTGGAGCACAGGTTCAGCCCGGTTCAGCCCGGGGTGAAGAGCATCGCCACATTTAGAGCATTTGGTGGATGCACATTTAGGAGGTAAGGAGTGGTTGGGTCTGGAATCCTTGCTCTAGAAAGACTAGTGGAAAGAACAGGATATGAGTAGCCTCCAGGAGCAAAAATAAAGGGGAAACCAGACAGGAGGCTTGCAGAAGATGGAGCAGAAGATGGAGCAGACTTGAAAGCAGGAGTAGAATGAGTGGATAATTGTGGGTAAGTAGTGTTCAGCTAAATATTAGGAGGAACCTCTTAACAGTGAGAGCTGCTTGATAATGAAAAAGGCTGCTGGGGAGGTGATGGGTTCTCCTTCGCTGACAATCTGGAAGCACGTTCATGTCTCAGGGACACTTTAGCTACATCCTGTATTGCAGAACAAGGGGTTGGGCTGAGTGATCTTTGAGATCCCCTCCAAGTCTTCTTGGGGTGGTCTTGAATTCTTTTCCTCATTTCATCAAGAGAATTATAACCACTCTGCCACTAGGGGGCAGCAATGTTTGTGCCAACGAAAAAGGAAGTGTACGCTGCTCCTTAGGAAACCCAAAAGGCCACCTGCCAACTCATCTGGAGAGGCAACGGGGCTTCCGGAGAAGCACAGAGCTCTAGAGTTTCTTTAGGATCAGGCAGGCATACCTGTCTGCTTCCAAAGGTCTCGTTGCTATTTTCACTACTGCAAATGGAACTAGGTGTCCTCATCATCCCAGTGCACAGGTCTATTTCCTTCTGGTTTCCCATGTTGGTTTAGTCTCTAGTTTTGCTCTTTCTCACCCCATTTCTCAAGCTATGGACATTTTAAACAGATTTTGGGGGAGTTCTACTTGTATATTCATGCATTTGGAAGGTGACTTTTTTTTTTTTTACTTGTTGAAAAACTGTTTTAGGATCAAGTAGGGGAATGGCTCATACCATCACAGGTGCTGGCCACTCTGCACAAGCTGGCCTTAGGTGCCTCCCCGTTGACTGAGCACAGCCGTGGAGAGATGCTGAATCTATCCAAAATGCTGTGAGTATCCTTCCAGACATATTGCCCTAATGGCTTTGGGTACCTTGTTGGCTTTCCACATTATTCATGAGTCTTCATGAAGAACCCGGGAGCCTTTGGCATTTCCGATTCAGAAACACTAATAACAAAAACACTGTCTTACAATAGAGTCAAATTACTTGGTATGATTCTCACCATTCTTCTGGGCAAATGAGCTTCTGCCCATTTTGTGTGTGTGTGGGGGTGTTACCCTGTTATTTGCCCGTCTTCACTCCATCCAACCCTGACTGTTGTCCATCATATTTCTATCCAGCCATTCTGTATGGCCTGCCTGTCATGCACAATCATCACAATGAAAAAAGCAGAAGCCTTCTTGCCAGCTTTCCTTAAGCTAGCATGCTTTAGCGATGTGGGGCACCGAAAACCCATCATTCCGATCCACCAGACCCATAGACATGTTGGCTAAGGATGGTGGGTGTTGTGGTCCAGCTGTCTGGAAGGCAATGGACTGGATTGTTAAATTTCAAGCCCTTTTATCCTAACGAATGTTTCACCTGATAGGTACTTTTAAAGTTTCTGGGGTGTGTGAGGCAGAAACCCCATCAAATGATTCAGTGACCTTGTTTTCCCCCATTGCCCAAATCTCTCTACTCCCCTGTCCCCTCCCCCTGCTCCCAATATTTAAATAAACTCTTCGGCTCAGTCCTTCTTTCTGCTCTCTTTTATGTGAATCTGTGCTCTATTGCAAGGAGCTCCTGCTGGGATTAATTTCACTGTATATTATTTCATATGGAGAGGACAAGGTGAAAGGCGCTGAGAGCTTGTTGCTTTGTGCTGGCTTATGCAGGGTCAAAAGAAAATTACAAGGCTGAGAGTCATAACTACTTTTTCAGGTTGGCCAATGGCAGAAAACAGCTCTGTCAGGAAGGCTGAGCGTGGGAAGTGTGAACGTAAAAGACCCTTATCTGTGCCTGTACCCTGGACAATATTCCTCTGCCTGCGTTGATCAAGAAATGCATGCATGAAAAGAGATACATGGACATAGGGTAATCTTGCCATGTCTTCTTTTGATACAGCTGTGCCAATACTGCAAGCTGCGCAGTCCCAAAGCACCACCAGAAAGAGGGTTGGTAAAGTGCTTCCCAGGCAGAAGACCCTACAAGTGTCTCCAAATGTCAACAACAACAACAACTTGATAGCAATTAATTTGTGTGCATGAAGGTGCTCTATACAGAGACAGATTTCGTCTCCTTAACCTAGTGCTGTATCTTCCGACTGGTGTCTGGTCTTCAGATATTTAGACTGGTCTTTCCTGCTGCACTAACTAGCTCAGACGTTATAAGTAGACAATGGGAGATGAGACTTCCTCCCTGCAAACAGATGCTTCAGGACCAAGCAAGGGCTCCTTGCTCAGATCTGACATGAGGACCCTGGTCAGAAGGAGATGGAGAAGGAGAAATAATGGTTAAAAAAAAAAGATTCTGCTTTGTGAGCATGACTGGCGAAGGAAACATGTATGTGAATCAAAGTGTCCTGTATCTTTAACAGAAGATGACAAAGAAGGACTGTGTGTATATGTGTGTGTGGTAACTATACAATAAGTTGTTGTTGTTGTGTGTGTTTTTTAATGGCAGTTTAGGAATAGGATTGAAACTCGAGCCTCCCTTTAAAATCGTGGCAGCCAGCAAAATATTTGTGAGCATCCTGAAACGATCACTGCTGGTGCCAGAACATTTCATCCAGCATTTCGTGGGACAGGCTGCCAGAAATGATTCTCCCCCTTCTCCAGCAACAAACTCCACATTTCTTAATAATCACAGCAGTCTGGGGCAAGGGATGGGGGAGGGATGGAGGGGGAAGAGAACATCAAGTTGTTTCCTTCTTTCATCGTGTCCCTAAAACCCGCTAAGCCTGGCTTCTTTAAAAAAAAAAAAATTAAAAATTAAAAGCGTGGTGGGGGAAGGCTTCAAAGTGTCAAAAGGGAAACTGGGTGCACTCTTGAGTCCAGGCAAGCCACCAGCCAAGTCCTCTCGAGTTACCCTTTGCGGCAGTTGGATCTTTGCAGAGCTGCAGCGCCCGTTTCTGCCTCTTCCCTGAACTGATGCCATCACCCCTTATATTTGGAGGAAGGTCACAGGATAGGCTGTGGCTCTACGGCTTGGAAACGGGGATGAGCACCGCCCCCTAGAGTCGAACACGACTAGACAAAAATTGTCAAGGGGAACTTTTACCTTTACCACAGTATAGGCAGCATGTTTGGGAGGCTTTCCAGGACTGCTGCTCCCTTTCCCCCCCCCCCTTCCAAATTAACTGTTGGAAGGGGGGGGAGAATAATAATAACATAAATCATCACTACAACTCGACAAGGACTTTTGAAACTTCTGGGGTAATGGCAGGGCTCCATGTAACAGCTGGACCCAGCCTTTTGGTTGGTTGGTTTGCTTGCCATGCAGTGCTGCATTGTGATGAAAGTCCATGGTTTCCTCCAGAAAACCTTAAGATGGAGGATGAATGGATGCTCTTGGCTTCTGGCCTACGCTCTCCATCTTTTCTTCACTGAATGTTGTGTACATGGGGGAGGATTTCTATGACATTTCATATTTTCTTTGCAACCTACATTTGAACCCGTAAGCAAACATGTTCAAACATCTTTATGAGTAATCTGGCCTTTCTTCCCAGATTACTCATAAACATGTTCAAACATGTATGTATTGCGATGAGAACACTGTTCAATTAAAACAATCAGGGAAGGGCCACCACAACAAGCCCTCCCATGAGCTCTCCCTCACATGACCAGTCATGGTGGCTGCAAAACCAAGCATGAGAAAAACCACTGTGTGACTGTGCTTTTTTGTGTGCTTTTCCTCAATAGGGTTGTGGCTTTCAACAGTGCAGGACCCCAGTATTCCTCCTCCACTGCACATGATCTTCCTAAGAGCCATGTCAAGTGCATCAGGTCATTCCAAAGTCACCTAATGAATTTCACTAATGAATGTAATTTGAAGTTTGAACCCAGGTCTCCTAGTTCCAAGCCCTATAACACTGGTACTCCTGCTCCAAGTTCTGTATGTCATATAATTTTATTTTGTGAGCCCATTGAACATCATAAATATAAGTTAATTTTCGATCTTGTATTGATCTTCATCAGGTGGGACACTGCGGAGCTGGAGATGGTGCAAAACAACAACACCTTACACCCAAAATCATGTCCAGATGTCTTTGCCAGTTTCTTTGTTAAAAGCAAGTTTCAAAACATCTGGCATGATTTGGGAAAGATTTTATGCTTTTTTCTGCACCAACCACAGCTCTCTGGTGCCCCGCCTGATGAAATGAGTACAAAGTTGAAAGATAGGTAATGTGTTTTTTTAAAGTTTTTTTTAGCAGTCCAATAAAAGTATCAGCTAGATCAGTGGTTCTTAATGTGGGTGATAATGCCCCCCAGGGGGCGATTTCATTTTTCAGGGGGGTGGTAGAACAAAAAGGGGCGGTCTCCAATCTTAATTTAGTTTCAGAGTTTTCGTCTTGACATTTTTAGTTCCTACATTGCCGTTTGTTTTTATGCCCTTTTAATATTTCTTTTTGCATCTTAAAATTTGCTTGCAACTAAATCATTAAATGTTATTTTTTGGGGGCATTTCATTTTCTTGGAATTGAATTTTGTTTTCAGGGGTCATTGGATTTAAGTGTGATAAACAAACAAACAAACAAATAAATAGATAGATAGATAGATAGATAAATAAATAAATAATACAATATCATCACCTCGGGGAAGGGGGCGATGATAACTTCCTCAATGGCTCAAGGGGGCATTTCTTTCAAAAAGGTTAAAAACCACTGAGCTAGATAGCTCAGTGGTTTGGATGTCTGGCCGTGGAGCCAGAGGTTGGGAATTCAATTCCTCACTGTACTTGCTGAGGGAAGATCCAGCCATGGTGGCCTTGGGGGCAAGCTGTACAATCCCAGGACAGCCCCCAGAAGAAGGGAATGGCAAACAACTTCTGAGTACTCTCTACCTGGAAAACCCTCAAAAGGGTAGCTATGAGTCAGAATTGACTTGACATCACACAATTAATTAATAAAGGTGTCACCGACCCTTACCTTTAGTTTGAGTAAAAGACTCAGCATGGCTCCTTTCCTTTCTTTCTAGTTGGTCTGTAATTCTTTATTTAATAATGAATAACACAACAGTGCTATTCAGACAGATGGAACAATTAGACAGGACTGAGTACAGAAAGGTATTCATGCTTGACCTGAATTCTTTTATTTATTTATTTAATTAAAATATTTTTTGCCCCACTTTTCTCCTTGATTATTGGTTAGGGGTTACATGACTTCAGACAATGAAGAGTTAATTTCTCTCTCTCTCTCTCTCTCTCTCTCTCTCTCTCTCTCTCTCTCTCTCTCTCTCCGTCCGTGTATATTCCCCAAGAAGTGAAAAACTGGCCATCCCCCTTACCACACCCATTTCCCCTGGGAACCCTTATTCAAGTATTATTCATCAGAGTTTAAGAAATATCTGGGGAAGGGGGGGAAACTATCTCCACCCCTCCTGCCCTACTTCTTTTGCCCTCAATGTGTGGAGGCTGAATTTCTGAAAGGGCGATACTTGATCTGGAGAGGCTTTCCATGCAGTCTAACCTCCTGATCTTGGAGGATTTAAAATCTGCCTGCAAACAGATGGAGAAAGCTCTTCTGTTTAGAAGATAGCCTGATGTGTCTGTAGAGTGATAGAAGAAGCAATGGGGATGGGGAGGGGGGAAGAGAGGGTTAGAAATTTTCCCCCACCTTGCCTGTAAGCATGTGGAAAGTGAGCTCAAATTTCAAGCAGGTTTTATCAATTACAGTTATCCTGTTTCAAAACAAAGGCCAAGAACCTGTCGGGTCTAAACACTCCTGCATTGGACCATGACATAGACTGTTCAATGTTTTTCCTACATGCGTGCGAGGAGCTATCCAGTCCCAACGCGGCACAGATGGAAGGCCCCTATTTCTCGGCCGGCAGAATACACTACTTGAATAGTTCAGAAGCCTTTGAAGAAAATAATCAAGAGTGACTATTGTGACATAATGAGAGGACTGAGTTGTCCATGGTGACCTTTTTGCTAGATACTTGGCACACACAGTTGCTCACATCCATTCATAATTGGACTCCACCATTTCAGGCAATTCCAAGCTCCTGCTTGCTTGCTTTTAATGGATACCTTCCAGTTTTAACAGATGCAGAGGTGGACAAGATCCTTGGGAGTGCATTTGACCCTTGCCCTTTGTGACTGATCAAGGCAACTCATTAGGAGTGGTCAACTTGAACGGGAAAAGAGAGGGATAAAAGGATCTTTGGAAGTCCCCTTAATGGGGATGTCCTGAGACCGTTTTCATGGTTATCTCCTCTAGATTCCACCATCGCTGTTAACTCCCAAGCAGCCTCAAAATTTCTGGGTTTGATCAAAACACTTGAGTGCATGATGACAGCTTAGCTCTTCAGTGTTTCTTGGTTGAGGTGTTTTATTTGGACCAGAGCTCGAAAAAGTTATTTTACAGTATGTTGGACTTCAGTCCCCAGAATTCCTTTCAACCATGATGATTAGTGGCATTTTGGAGAGCTGTCGTGCAAAAAGAGGTAGTGTTGTAAAATGGGTAGATTTAGGAAACCAGGGTTTAAACCCTGGAGTGGTGTGGAGAGATCAGGGAGAGAGTGGTTTTGGAGTGTGAGGTCTGAGGAAGAAGTCATAGAGAATAGTCTGAGAGAGAGAAAGCGGTGAGGCAGGGAAAAGGTAAGAGAGAGTGAATTATTGTGCTGAATTATTTTGAAGCCTAAGAATAAACAATGTTTTCTAACACTTTTATTTTAATAAAACCTTATTTCTTCTATTGGTCCTGAGTTCAATACCCAAGGGCTGTTTATGTGGAGGATATTATAAGGGCTTATGTGAAGTGTTAAATATTTATATAAACACATAGGAGCAACTCCTGAATTTTCCCCAGTGCATGTCAGATTTTTTTATTTGTT